TAAGCAATTTACTTTGTGATGATAATTAACAAATTGTTTTATTGGTGGATAATTTTATGAATTTTTCTTTGTTTAAAAATTTTTTTTTTTTGTAAATACATTCATAATAATAAATAAACTATCCTCACAACATAACAACTATCACTAAAAGGCAAGTGTTGGAATGCATGCATTGTGGAATCATTTATTATTACTCTTATATGTCATGGGTCTGTGTGGTTAGCTCCAGTTCCACCTATTAGTATGCGGGATATATATACTTCTAGGGGTCCACTGGATATGCCGTCATGCTTATTAGATGAATATAATTGATTTCCACAGTTTTAATTTTCTTAATATTATTATCAATGATCCGTGGGGTATTATTATATATTTCTGAAGGTTTATCCTTCTGCAGTTTCATTCTGAGACCATAAATATGAGAAGTCCGCATAAGTTGAGCAAGGATGTTTCTGTGAAATATTTATTCCAAGGGTTGATAATTTGTGATTTGTTTTATTACCCTATCTAATAATTATTTGGACTGGCAAACCTTTGATTATTTAGTTAGGTTCACTTATTTATTAACACATGATAGATAATAATAATCTGTTGGCTTTAAATTTTCTGATTATTAATGATGAATAAAGAATAGAAGGGAATGAAAATTAAGACATTATTTTTGCTTAGTCATATGGGTATATGGACTAACTACCCTTCTCTTTTTTTATATATAATTATTTAGATGGTGCATAGAAGAAGATCAATAACAGCTCACAATCATAGATCACAAGCAAGGAACAACATAAATTCTCATATAAATCGTCTTAATTCTTCTCAATATGTATGTATGACATATTCATATTTGTATATATTTGTATTTATATTTACATTATCATATTCAAATATTTTTTTAATTTTAACAGATATATCCTGATATGGAGCGTCTTGATTATTTTGAATCTTAATAGATAGGTTTTTACAAGGAAATAATCCTAATTCTTTAATTTATGTTGAAAGAACATGGGGCAATTACCATAATGAAATTGTTAGATACCTCTGTCATTATCATCACCATCATCAATGAATAATAAATAAAATAATTCTTTACTAATAAGCTTTGTTTCTAAGATTGGAATAGCTGATGGTAAATTATTGGAAGAGTTCTTTATCAATAGAAAAATCCACATTATATTTTTTTACTTGTAAAAGAAAATGCATGATTATATATATACCTTTTAATTCAACTAGCATAGTGAGTTTTGGAATAACTATTACTACCACATAAAATCAACCTTATGGATGGATATAT